TCGGAAGAGTTTGGCAGAATTCCCGTTTCTGGTGTCCATTTGAAGTTAGGAGGGAAGGGGGTAGATGTCTAAACGAGCAGAGAAACTTGCAGCTGTCGGTGAAGTAAAAAGTAAAATGCTAGGGAAAACTGAAGTGGCTCCAAGTTCGGGGAGCTGCAGCGCACTAGTGTTTTTTTGAGTGAAATGCCAATGTCTTCCTCTGAATTTAGCTCTTAGTATTACTTTGAGTGAGATGCATCAACAAATGGCAGTGTCTCTGTCCTTCAAGGTGGGGCTTTAACTCTGACAGTCTTACAACAATTCACTCTCTTGGGTGGGGAAGAGAAGAAGTGTCCCTGCTGATCACATTAGCTTTGTTGATTGATATGGTTTTCCGTTTTTTTTTTTGGGGGGGGAGGGAGGGGGTTTGGGTTTTTTTTTAGCTTTCCTTGTTGTCTGTTTATTGGACTGTAATAACTGGCTATACAAACCCCAATTTTATGTCTTTTGTAACTAACTGTAGTTACTAAGAACAAACAATTGAAGGAATTAAATTCTAGACTCAGCCTGGCCTTCCAAAACTCTCTATCTTATTAAATGTGTCCACCCCTTATTGCTTCTACATCTTTCCCAGCTGAGTGGCTGCCCAAGCCTGGTTGCTGGCTGTTCTTGGCCCAGTTGCTTCCAGTGGTCTTACCGCACCTGATGCAGTGCTGGCATGTGCACTATAGTTGCGCCACTCTAGCACCGATTGAATGCAAACAGCTAAACCCATGCAAATGATCTCCCTTGTTTGCTGTGGATACTGGGGATGCAGTGCAGGGCACATGCACGATCAGCAGAGGACTACACCCTCTCACTGCACCCACCTACGGGGGCTGAGAGAGAGGCTTTGGCCTGTGGCCTGCACCTGCCCTGGAAAGGGCTGATGTGCTTATCCACTGGAGTAAACAGTCTCAGCTCCAGCTGTACCTGGGGATAGGGAGGGAAGAGTTGCGTTTGGGTTTCTGCCCCAATGGAATGATTAAGTAAATGTCAGAGTAGAAGCACTGTATGCTTGTTGGAGACTTAACGTTTATTAAGGAAGTATTCACATACTGCGAAGGAAAAAGGTGGGAGTGGAGGGAGAAGGGAGATGACCACCGGTGATGTTGGTCAGATACACCTTCTTTTGTGCAAGAAAAAGGACTAAGTTCTAAGATTCACTGGATGTTTCCGTTCATCGCTGCTGCTTTCAGTGCAGGGAGATCAGTGATAGCTTTTGCTCCCCACCACCCCCCCACCCGGCACCTGGACTGTCACCTACCCCTTGATCCCTGAGCAGAAGCAGCACTTCTTTAATCCCTGCTTGCTCCTAGATATGCTGGGTTGGAGAGACCCTCATCTCATCTCATCTCATCATCTCTGTAGTCACTAACCTCTCCCTCTTACTTTTTTCACTCGTTTTTTTTTTTCCCCTTGCCACTCCCTGAGAACTGCATTTGCTCATTCACCGGCTGTGAATGCATACTGATGCACTCCTTAATGTGATTCCCTGAAACTAGCTTCAAAGCAGAAGGCAGTTAGTTTGAGAAAAACTGGGCTAGCAGGAGCCCAACCAGGCAAATAGCATCTGCCTTACATGGCCTTTACCTTCACTTTCAGTAGGGTCAGGAAGTTCCACTTGCTATATTTAAGAACTAACTTAGGCTTGAATTAAGCGTGCAGTAGTACTTGAGTGTCGGTAGCACTTGATTTTCAGGCTGGGAATAGGAGGTAGTGCTCTGCTAGGTAGAGCTCTGCTAAGTGGCTTGATTCCTTCTGAAGGGTTAAGAATTTCTAGAGCACATTACCAGTTTTTCAAAAAAGTTCTCGCTAGCTGTAAATTCCTGCCATTTCTAGGCATTCCCTGACTGCACTGGGACTCATCCCTAAGCTTCAAGAAGACGGGCAGCTTCTTCGGTGCTGGTCATTTTGCAAGTGGGAGATATCTAGAGCCAAAGCTACAAAGTGTCTAACTTACCCTTTTGCTACTATTAGCTTAAGCCTTGTAGCATTCATGTCGCTAAATAGCTAATCCATCTATTTCATGAAGCAAGAGGAGATGGCTTCCAAGCAGAAACCTTTCTCTCTCTCTCTCTCACACCAGTTTTATCCAGGTTAATTGGTATAGCGCAAGCCGACACGATTAAAGCTGCCAACTAGCATGATGGATTTTGGAAGGAAAGAGACTGCCTTAGCTTATCTTTGGGCCGGTTTCTCTTAGCCAGTCCTTTGCAAACCTCGTGAGGTGCCAGGGAGTGTGACCTGATAAACAGTCCATCGGAGAATTCTCATAGAAGAAAAAAAAAACCCAAAAAAGCCTGTTATAAATATAACAACAGAATCTAAAAAGCATCTTTCCAAGCATCCTTGTTTGTATTTTTGGCTTTGAAGTTACGTACACATTTTGGAAAGTATAATGTGAGGATTAATTTAGAAGCGTTTGTGGATTGCTACTGTTTGCTTCTATGTTATCTAATACAGTGTTTCTGGAACTAGAGGAGGAGGAGGAATTAGCTTGCAACACATGATTTGAAACTATTCTCTGTGCTAAAAGAGGTAAAGCTTGGTCAACTAACTCATGCCACTGCTGCCTTCCTTTTTGAGACACGCTGAATGTCTGAAAATAAGCTCACACATTTATCCTGACATCTCCCCCAAGATACCTCACCTATTTGATCAAGTACCCAACTGCAACCTTAGTAAGTGGCCCACAACTGCAACCGAGTTTGTTCATATACTGCAGGCAGAGCTTTGGCAGCCCATCACTAATATAAAGATAAACAGTACCTGCACTTAGAGCAGAAGAGCCATTGTATTAGCCTTATTTGGCATAACTTACTGGTACATCAATATTTAATGCAGGAACGTTGCTGCAACTGCCAGTCACCTTCCGTTTCCTCACTTAAGGCTGACTTTTGGATATATGCTCCTACCAGCTGACCTCTTGCTTCAGGGTTTGATAGGGTAGTGTCACACTTTGCAGAATGACCTATTTTCTTACATGGGTGGTTTGGGTTTGTTTTTTTTCCCCTCTTTCAAACAGTCCGAGAGGCCTGCGATTATCCAAAACTTCTGGAGACTGATAAACAGAGGAACCGGCCATACCACAAGAATCTCAAAGAGCATGCTTCTAGTTGAGGATTTTGAAGCCAGAGATGCTGGAAACTACATTTGTATAGCTCGGAACCTACAAGGAGAAACGACAGTAGCTACCAGAGTTGAACTAAGCCGGTAGGAAAGGCTTCTGGACATAGAATGAACTGTATGTTATTTGACGTTATAGCCATTTATTTTCTTCATTAATGTTTAAATGAAGTTTTCTCTGTCACTCTCTTTTTTCATATGTCAATGCATTCCATATTCACTAGCTTGACAGGCCAAAACAGAGTTCCCTATGCCCAGCAGTAGTCAGCTGTGAGTTAATAAAACTACTACGAAGCATTAAAGTTTAAGCCTGAACATGCATAGGGCTTATTATATTTAGGAATAGGTGCTCTTGGGCTTTCCTTTGCAAATGG